TCACCATTAACCCCAACTTCTTCTGTATTCTGCTCCACAGAACAGTCAGCAGACAGCCCCATTTGAAATTCTCTCTTAATTCCCATTTCATTCTCTGGAAGAAGTGCCTGGGGAAAGAGACGGTCAATGATGGGTTTCCGGAGTGGAAAGGCTGGGAAAGGAAAAGAGTTTCCATATAGATAACATGACTTCAATCTCTGAAAAGCTGAAAATGATTTCCAAAGCGCTCTTCAATCTTTTCTATTCACCACGTACACACACTTTTTTTTTCCCTCAGCAAAGCACATGTGTACGCACATGCATTCTAGCTCCAAAAGGCACAGGCATGGGCAAGTTGGTATCTCTGTGCATTAGTTCCTTCTATGGATGCAGGAGATGTCAGGGTACCCTCTCAACGAAATCCTGTGTGCATCAAATGAAGCGATAGATGTAAGGTTCTTAACAGGGTGCCTGGCACATTGTGAACACTTAGCACATTTTATTTCATGTATTATATATTTTATATATATTATATAATACTTAATTCATTATCTCATCAGATCCTCACAACCCAGCAAGTTGTCTGCTCATATTGCTCCTTATTTTATAACCAGTTAAGGATTCTGCCCTCTAGGTATTTGAATTTCAATCATTCCTTATGAGGGAGAAGAATGTCTACTAGCATACAGGGTGAAGACTTGGACTAGAAAGGCAACAATCTTAGAGCTAGATTGATCTTTGAAAGACGTTGATGTAGAAAGACAGTATCCATGCTTTGGTGCACACGGGTGTACAGATAGTTCATAAGCCTGTGAAGATTGAATAATCATGAGCAAACACCCAGGAGGAAACCGAAAAGTCTATGCAACTGTTTAGATATTTAGAGCATTCTGCCTTTTAAGAAAAGCAGTATTTCCTTTGGTCCCTCTCACCCAACTCGACTGTACGCACTATTCTCTGATTTCATGTTGTGGAGGTGTAATGTTTCTACAGCCCAGGCATTGTCAGTCTTTAGTGATTATTACTGTAGAAACAATTTGGCAGTCTGCTTACTATGTCTTGTGTTTTCTGATAACTGACTTTCCTGTGTGTGTGTACCCTTGGACATGTGGATCCTAGGACGTCACACATCACTTCTGATAGCTCTTCAAATGAACATGTGAAGCATGCCTGACTGAAACAAATTCTGCACCCCTAGGGTCTGGAATCAGGCTTCAAATACTCGAATCATCTTGTCATGTTGACTTGGAGTGAAGAGGCATAAATTTAAGAACGAAGGTACTATTTTGGGGTTACCACCTTCAAATACGTATGAAAAGAAACACACACACACACAAACTGGGTTTGCTGCATGGTAGGGGAGGGGAAGAAATGAATGTGCACAGAAAGCAGAAGGGAAAATAAGAAGGCAGAGAGAAATCCTGGACGAGGTCATTGGCAGACAAGGTCTGTGAAAACGCACATATCCTTTTATGGACACGTTAACTTTCCTTTACTTCTATCCTTTACTTCCTGAAGCAGCACACAGGCATTCAGCTCCTACATATTCCCAGGTGAGATACGACAGTTATTTTCATCTCAGAACTTGTGTTCACTCCGATCTTGGCTACAGACTAAGACAAGAAATTCTTGAAAAGTCTTTTGTCATTTGCATGTTTCTTTAATTGGTACTGCTTTTGGGGAGGGGGTGTTGGGAATTGAACCCAGGGTCTTGCACACACTTAGGCAAGTGTTCTACACTGAGTCATGCCCCCAACTGGACCACTGCATCCTTACCATCCCACAGAGAGAGATTCTAGTTTTAGTAAGACTCTGCTAATGGAATTGTGTATTGCTTCTCATTTTCAGTGTAAAAAAGGAGTCCTAACTAAGATGTATTACCTTCTATGGAATATAAATAATTTTGATTGCTATGACTCATGTTTCCCAAGCCAAACAAACCAGGGGGTAAAATCTGCACACAAAAGAGTAATAAAACAGTGCTTCTCCACATCTGTTCCCACAGCATCAGGAATTCCAGTCTTACCCCAAACTGTCAAATGGTTCTAATGTCCTTAGGAATTTTCTTTTGTGTTCCATGAGTTGGTGCTCTGAGCTCTTAAGTAACATTTGCTACCTCCTTTCTTCCCAGCCCAGCAATGACTCTCCAAATGACAAAGACTCTCAGCCCTCTTGGCTCCACCAGAGATCATGGGTAACCGAGGCTCAACTCTGATTATTCTGGGACTGGAGAGCTGGTTTGGTGGTTTAGATCACTCGTTCTTCCAGAGGACACAGGTTCAATTCCCAGCACCCATATGGTGGTTCACAGGTCCAGGGGATCAAGCATCATCTTCTGATGCTCCAGGGTCCCAGGCACACATGTGGTTCAGAGGCATACAAGCAGGCAAAACACTCATTAAAAAGAGAATCTCAAAAACAGTTCCTCCTAATGCTGTAAAGGGCACTTACGTGAAATATTACTTTTAGCTTTTCCTTGCTCTTGTTTTGGTAGTATCTCTTTCTTAGAGTTCACAATTAGACCTGAGATGTGGCTCAAATTAGCCTGAACAACAGGGAATTTGGGGTGATGTCATGGTTTGAATGACAAACACAGCATGTTTTTCTCTGAGTACTCCTTACCTTAGGCAAAACTTAGCTGGACTTGCATTTTCTCATCGTGTGTGTGTGTGTGTGTGTGTGTGTGTGTGTGTGTGTGTGTGTGTGTGTGTCTGAGTGTGTAGACTAGTGGATATGGAGGCCAGTGTCTTTCTCAATAGCTCTTCACTTTCCCCCCTGAGTTATGGTCTCTCACTAAACCCAGGGCTTGCTGATTCGGCTAAGTTTGGAACTAAGCCCTTCTGGCCCACTGGCCTCACTGATTATGGGCAGTTACAGATTTTTTTTTTTTTTTTTACGTGGATGTAGAGATGTAAACTCGGTCTTCATGCTTGTGTGGCAAGCACTTGGCCTATTGGCCCATCTCTTCAGACCCCAAACTTGCACCTTTCAAAGCCTCTTGGTTCTCTCTGCCCTGTTCACTCTTCCCCAGAAGTCTCCTTGGTCTGAACACAAACAAAGCCCTGATGGGGCTGTTCATCCATCCTCAGGCACAGGCAGGGGATCTGGGTTTTGAAGTCAACAATGCTGGCTTAAGAGTAATGATACGCACACATCTGCCCACAGTCTGACCCCTGTAGTAGCATCGTGTAAATGTTGATATCTGAGGACACACATCCGTAGATACCTGTCTTTTATTAGGCTTGGTCTTTGCAAAGCTGTTCCACTGCTTCTCGCTTTAACTTGTGATGTCACGTGGTTCATAGATGTGGGGAGACAGAGTCCAAGCATGTGTCTTCAGCCAGATGTCTGTGAATACCTCTGGCAAGCACCCAGTGAAGTGTCTGACCAATGGTTTTTATAAGTATTTGTCAAACTGAACTAAATGTCTTGCCTCACACCTGATGTCATATGCTCTACCTTGTTGGAAGGGTCCTCTTAAGAGATTCATCTCTGTTCTGTCCTTATCTCTGTAAAATAACCCTAACTCTACTGTTCTTCTCGCCGGTTGTACTTTTCTGTCTGTTGCTGTCTGCGTGGTTGGCCTTGGCACAGCCTGCTCATTCTCAGTGTCCTCTCCCACTGTGGAACATGGCTTCCACAGCTGCTTTCTGACTCTCGGGCCGTGCTGGGCTTACAAGCCTTGAGTGAGTGCCTCACCACTGACAGCATGAATCTTAAGTTTATACAGCCCATGGGGCTTTCTGTGGGTCACTAGCCAAGCCCCCCACTCACTGAGGTATATCGTACCCTTTCCCTGGGAGCCCTACCTCTCCTGCCGTCTACTCCAATGAGGGCAGGGAAGAGTTGGCCCTCGCTCAGAAACCCACAAGAAGAGGTGTCACTATGAAGAGGCTAGCTCTCAAAGGGAGGCTAAGTCTTCTGAACTTACCTGGGCCCATCTGCTTCCTTCCATGGCTCTGCTCACCCAGTGGTCACTATACACACAGAAAACCAAGATCCTAAGGTCCTAGGCTTCTTCAAGAGTGACCCAGGCTTTGAGGAGTTAAGGCCAGAACTGGGGTGGATAGACAGGACTGTTAGTTATTTGGAGAGCCCAGCAAAGGTCCCTCCCCTGTCACCTACATACCACTTCCACATGATGTCTCTTTCCTCTGGCCACAGAAAGGAGGTTGGGGGTGGGCGTGAGAAGAGAAAGAAAAAAAAATACAAAACATTTAGAAAGTTTGTAAACCTTTGTGTTTTCATTTAACAGCAGGAATCTCAGCAGTAGCCAATTGAGGATTGAATTTTTTTTTTTTTT